TGCCTGGCGCACAGATCGATAAACGCTTGGACCGTTTGATTAGGATCCGCAGACGCATCGGCTTCTCTGCACTTCTCGATGACCTTGATCATGTCATCGATGAAAACGGCAAAATCAGTGACGCTGCCGTATACATTAGCCGACTTGTATACCCTCACGAGGGGCTCGTAGAAGATGGTGAACAAGTCTCTAAAGAGTTTCAGCGTCACCGACTCCTCAATCAGTTGTAGCAGCATGGTCTTATCTCTGTGTCGCGTGCAAAGCTTGAGAAGCTGTTTGAGATATGAAAAGAGCTGAGCACCCTGTTTCAGTTCTTCGTCAATGTTCTCGACAGCGTTGTTGAAAGCGACATATGCATTAAACAGTCGCTGGACCTGCTCGCCCGTCAATTCTGGCTCAATGAGGTCCGATCTCAAAATCACCACGATGATATCGAGGTCTTCATCTTCGGCTTGCCGACGAATTTCCGTCTTGACGTCTTCCGGGGCATCTGTGTACTTCTTGATCTTCTCGACGAAGACAGGATCATCAATCTTTTGATCCAGTGCGTCAATAGATCTCTGGAAGCTTCGAATACCATCATGCAGCGCTAGTGAAAACATGCGCTGCATTAAAGATCGAGCCCCAAAGGGTTGAGCGAGGAAAATGTCCAAGATTCCAGACATGACTGCCGCAGGGTTGGCAATGCGAATGACATTTTTGATGACGGTATACGGAACAAGGGAGTGGATACGTTTGGCTTGCGCAAACATATCCGCTGAGTTGTCTTCGGCTAAGAAAAGGTGGTATATGACGGCGGCAATTTCGATCCTCAACCATTCGGCGAATTTCCGATACTGAATGCTAAGATCGCCAATCGTCTCCTTTTCCTTAATCTCTTTGAATAGGAGTGTGAGGCCATTCCGTTCAACAATATCTCTTCGAAACCTATAAATCGAAGTGGTCAATAAATGATCGATCAGAGATGGCCAGGAAACTGGAGGATCACTAACTGTTCCATATACTCGTCAAGCTCTGCAGCTCGTCTTCTGGCAATTTCGTAAAACTCTTTTTGCTCTTCCATACGCTTCTCATCAAGGGCTTTTCGTCGTACTATGTCATCCACGTCCTCGTCGGTGGGCGTTATGGGATCGCCACTGAGGAATTCTACCATTGCCTTTGTATTGGCAACCTGAGGATTATGCAAAAGGGACCGTAAGAATGCGCGGAGGGATATTCTTTGGTTCTCTCGCCAAAGTACAAACTATAACTACGTCAGTCTTTCAACAATTCAGAGACTCTGCAAAGGTAGCATTCACTAACCTCCTTGTTTCCATCAGGAGTTGCAAATCTCGGGCTCAGCGGACCATCCACGGATGGTCGAGGGGAAGTTCCCTTCTTCGAGCGGCTAGATCTAGCTGATCTGATGGATCCTGTGCCACGCGCAGCTATTGGAACAGTTAGTATCATTTGTCGCCCTCGCTCCCGTCAAGAGAGAAAAAGCACCGCTGAATACATACCACTGGAAGCAGTTAGCAGCGACGACGCACCGCCGAAGTTTTGGGATTGCCTCGTTCTACGGGTCGATATAGACGACGCAGAGGAATCATCGGAATCGTTTGCCGCGCTGGTAAAACTTGTGAGCAGTCCGCTAGCTCTTGTATCTGTCTTATTCTTTTTCGGCAGCGTAGGCAACACCCTGCCAGGCAGCTCGGTGCGCAGTTTTCGGTGTAGCTTGCTGAAATCGCCATATCTACGCCCGACGAAGTGTTCCAGCTCTCCTTTCCTCTTAATTCGAAGAATGAACTCGGCGTGCTTGTGATATCTGATATTGCGCTTGACCGAGGTAACGCGAACTCCGGCAACATTTACGTCCCAGCCGTTGATGTAGTTTCCCTCGGGAAGGGTGTTCATGACGCCCCTATCAATAGCATTGCTGTCTACAATCTCGATTTCTGAAAACTTGATGCGCTCTTCGAATCCGGACGAGGTGGGGATGCCCGAGACCATCATCAGCTCAACGAGCTTCTGCGCCTTGATAGCCAGCTTCCGTCGCTTCGTCTCTTCCAAACGGTCCTCGGAAGAGGATATCTGTTTCGTCGCAAACGATTCGAGGAACTGCCATTTAAATGTTAGCAAAGAGTTTTATTCAAAGCCCGCAGAGCAGCAGCAGCCCTTGGGCAAAGATGGCAAAGATGGCGCAACGTACGACTTGGAGCTTGTCTTGCCAAAACTCCTTCTCCTTCGCCTTATCCAGAAACGGAAAGTCGCGGATATGCTTGACGAAGATGTACCGCAGGATGGGGAGCTCGGATTCCTGAGGAGGCACTTCGCCCTGCTCCGACTTGAACGGCGCGCCGAAGCGCTGCAACGCCGTGGGGGAATTGAGCTCGCTGATCTCCCATTTGACCTGGTCGGAAATGAGTTCTCTCTTCAAGTCTGTGCAGTATCAACCCGATGATTAGCTTGAGATTCAGCATAGAGGAGAAGCCTTTCAGCAGACGTTCACGGCTCAGCTGGGAGAAAACTTACAGTGCTCCTGTTTTCCTGTCAGCGCATTGCTCGACGTCAGCGCTGCGCCAGAGCCGTTTTCGCGAATGGGCAGAGAAACAGCAGCAGCAGCGCCATCGGGCAATCCTTCCTCGGGGGCTGTCATGGCGCAAATCTAGCCCGGCAAAGGGAGAAGATAACGAAGCGTTCCTGAAGATCAGGAGAAACAGGCAGAAGAAGAACGGGAAGAGGAAAAGTAAAGGCCTCGATCGCTCGCTCGCAGGTTCGAATGACGACAGATCTCCAAGGTCAGTCCGTTTCTGAGGCAGCCCCAGTTGAATTCCGGCGGGGTACTAAGCTAATAAAGTGCTGCCGTAGCGCGATTGTGCGGGTAAGCGCTGTATAGTAAGCTCGACGAGACGGACGGACAGCGGGTTCGCCTAAATAGCAGGGCGCAAGCAAAGCAAAACTGCCAAGCGCAAGTGCGATTGCGGAGAGGAAATGGGGAGAGAGTCGAGTTTTATTCAACGCCCACTATCACGTTGAAGGTGCTGAGACGTGGACGATGGCGGTGCCTGCGCAGGACAAGAAAGTGTTTCACAGGGAGAATATCAAAGACAAATCCTAGCAGTATCTGTCAAAGCACACAGCCTCCTTGGCCCCATATTATGGCCATCGCGTCTGCTGCACTTCTGGGCAGTTGCAGGGACCACCGCATGGGCGCACTCTGAGTGTAGCCATTGGCGGGCGCGGATAGCAGCATCTCTGGATATGACGTTGGTCCGCAGCGTCAAGCCACCTCTGTCGCTACACCTCAGTTGGAATCCAGTGGCCTATTGTACAGCTAGCTATAGGGGAGAAAAAGACAAGAAACGCCTATTTCCGGATGAATTCCATAGACTGATTCCATCGTCTCGAGGCTCAGAAACTCTCATCACTCTATCAAGTCTTTTCGAGGCATAAATCATAGCTTCAGCATGACATCACCGGCCCGCAGCCAAGAAACCTGGTCAAAAAATACAGGGTAGCCATATCGATAGCAGCAATAGAGAGTCACCGCCAAGATGCTCCAAGCCACATGCCGAGAACAAAAATCAGTCATTGAGTCAGAGAAACTTTCAAATAATCCTATATCTACCACTCTAGGCTGATTGCAGTGAATCTCATCCGTTAGCCCCAAGTCATCTACACCAAGAAGAAGAAAGGGAAGCTTAAAGGCCAAGTTGAGTTTAGGAGCGCAAAGAGGAAATGATTATTAATTTCGCCTAAAATGGAGAAATGAACATTCCTTTTCTTCTTCTTATGTTTGATCTTTTAGTAGTATTACGACCTACTAGACTTCTCCATCGACTTCTCCTCTGACTGAACTCCAATCCCATTTGCCATTGACTTGTCCAAGCGCCTGTAGAAACCCCATATGGCTGTGTGACAAAGTATGCCGGTTGACCGGACAAACCGCGATCCTTGGCGCCAAGTGACAGCTTGACCAACGACAAGAGACTTGCGTCCGGCCAGCAATACCTCGGTTTCGTTCCGGGTACCTGAGTGGGAAAGAGTCATGTCTTAGAATGGCCGACATAAGACCGGATATCCTTTCAAAATGCAGATCCTACGGAGTACTACATTACTTCTTCAGGTAATATGAATATGTGCATTGTGTTTATAGCTACTAGTATATACTACCACGCTTATTATACAAAAGTTCTATAACCAGCCTCGCCCTAAAGAAATCCCCATATGAAATTACCCTTTCTGTGCCTATGAAACCGTCTGAGGGTAACACGTAGTGTTATTAACTCCCCGCAGTAAAATGATTCTCAAACCGCCGACTCTTGAGCCAGATGCCAATCATCCTGTTCTCGCCGGGACGACCGACAAATGATTTGCAGTGTGGACGATAAAACCTGTCCTTAAAGACGGCCTACTTCACCGCTCCTCAGATACCCACATGCAGTGAACCGGTCTTGAGGCGTTACATGATGGCCTCGTAATAAGAGGCTCTGCTGTGCAAGAGATGCAATTGGGCAAAGAGCTTTCGTGGCTTTTGCACGCCCCCCCAGCCCACTGTTGCCCTCAAAAACCAACATCTCCCCATTTAGAGAGAGAGAGAGGAGCTCAGCTCTTTTGTTCAAAGGAAACTGCTGCAAAGCCCAATAGCAGAGCAGCTCTAAGCGCGCCGCAATAGTGGCCGAGTAGCAACGCGCACGACCCTCACTGCTTTGGCTGGTTCGCTCCACTGTGGCAGTGAAGCGGGAGGTGCACAAAGCAGTGCGACGTCTCCGCATATTCTAGACTAATGCGCCTCGGTGATGCCGACAAGTTGGTCTCGTGTGTCTAAGGCGTTTCCCGTCCCGGGCTATTGGCGTGTAAATCTTGATGGCGCAGCCTCACCCGATGCCTCCCAAGGGCCTTGGCCGTTTATGCGCCTTGGCGGGCAAGAAAAACAGTGCGATGGCTTCTGTGCGTATCGGCGTGTTGCTCCGTACAGTGTTGATGAACGATCCGACAATTCAACGTCTCAGTTGGTCAGGTTACAGTTCGTCGAATATGCGCAATGGCTCCTCGTCCGCTAGTGGTGCTTCCCATGCCAGCTTTGCCTCTGACCTGTCGTTGCTCCTGCTTGTGGGAAGACTCTGCCTGGCGTCATGATGTATCTCAAGCTCCGGCGTGGTATTTCTCCACACGCCCCGAGCAGCCGGCTCAGTGTTCAGTTCAGCGTTCTGGGAACTGTAGTTGAAAATCATAAAGAGGAGGGTAACGAGGCAAATAACAAGAGATAGCGCCGCCCAGGTGATTCTCAGCCGTTTGCGCGTTTTCTCCTGCCACGCCCTATCTGCGCGCTCCCAGCCCTCGACGAGTTTTCGGACCTTATCCACTCGCGCTGCCAGCTCGTTGACGCTTTGCCTTCCCTCGTTGACGCGACTCTGTAGAGCATCGATGGTGGACTTCTGTGAATCAAAGTGCCCGATGTTGTATATCTGATTTGTAATGTCCGTTTCAAGCTCTCGCGCCGCCCTGTCAAATCCCACCTGGAGGTCACACGACGCCTGCGCAAGATCCTTTAGGGCCTTGACCATGACCTGCAGGCCGTTCGTCTTTTCCAGCAGTACATGGTGAATCTGCTCTACTTGCTGAGAGACTTCGGCCGAGAAGTTGTGGAGGTCGACGACAGACTGCTTTAAACCGCTGAACAAATGAATTAGCATGCGAAATAGCAGACATGTGTATGCGCGAGTGTGTGTGAGAGAGAAGCTGCTTGTGTCTGTGGTATGTCGTGTCTTACTCGGTGTTGGGAGAGAGCTTCTCCTTCTTCTCCTTCTTCTTCTCTTGCTCGCCCTGGAGCTTCTCCTTCTCCTTGACGCCCCGTATCAAGTCCAGCTTGTCCTCGCCCAGGGACGGCGACAACAGGCTCGCTCGCCGGCTCTGGATCGGGCTGAGGATCGGGGTCACGGCCTCCGACCGCGGTACGTCTATCGAGCGCCGCATCGTCTGTGTCGACGGTATATCGGCATCATCCAGCGTCCTCGCGCGGTGGAGTTTGTTGGTCAAGATGACATCCGTCAGCGACCGCTGGACGCGATGCCGCCTGGACCCGGGCGGCAGCGTGATTGGAGCTGCAGGCTCCATCGGATTTCGGGTCGTCATTGCCGCTGGCTGGACCGCACGAGTAAGAAGGGGACCCCCTTTCTGGTTCAAGCATCGTGCATGCATGCATTATCCACAAAAAGCTGATGTGAACATGCGGCCGGAGCCAGGACCAATTTAGGTGGGGCCGCGGCCAGCACGCGAATGACGACAAAGCATTCACATGCCGCAGCTTGGGTGCTAGCAATCTACACGCTGTAATCTGCAATACAAAGCCGAATACAGCAATACAATGCGAAATGAAAATAATATCAGCAAGCATCAAAGTCATTGAACACTAGAAGTACTAATTTCACTAGATTCTGCACATCATCGCTTGTGTGCGTCGTTTCATGTTGAATTTGATTGCATTTCTTTCATCTTATGCTCGAAATATCGTCATTTCTACAGGTCTGTTTAAACCTTGTGCTACCTTAGTATAGTATCAATGTCCTCCCAACTCCATGCGATGCAAAATGTCCAAAAAAATGGAAATGAGGAAAAATCAGCATGCATATACCTACCATCGACCATGACCATCACCACCAAGGCATTTGGTGGCAACAGCACGTAGGATGCAGGGTAAATACAATGCCAACTGTTCCTATTTGTTCATGACCACCAAAAGCCAACGCAACTCGAAACAAAGCAATCCCAGCAAAGTCACACAAATTTTGGGTTCAGCAAATCAAGCACAAGGCCATGCTGGTATGAAGTAGAGCGCACCCTCAAGAGCTGGCCCCGTATTGCTGTAGAATGAGGAAAAAGCAAGACACGAGGTAAGAGATGCAGACTGCCACGAGTGCTGGCTGAGTGGCCAAAGTTGATGGCGGTGAGGAGATGTTGCTGCGACCCCCCGTCCGGCTGCGAGCTGCTTCCATGGCCGTGCTGCAGCGTGTATCCATTGTAAGCATTTCGCAAGAATCTGCATGACGCTGCCGATGCAATGTATGCCCATGTCCTTCGGCGTGAGCGTAGCTTTGCCTCATGAGTTGAGGAGCTTGTTTCGCTTCTCCTTGCGCTTCACTCGCTCCACTCGCTTGCGGTGCATCTTCTCGGCCATCTTCTCGTATCGTTCCTTCTCTTCCTTTCTTGTGCGCTTGTCTTTGATTGCTTGAATTCGACGCTGTAAATCTTGTGAGTAAAGTGGGCGGATGAAAAGAGAGCGTCTTCTCCAAAAAAGACACAGGTCACCACCACCACATACCTGGCGCACTTCCTCCTTCTCCTCCTTCATCTCCTTCTCCTTGGCCTTCATCTGGGCCATTGCGGCACGCTCCTTCGTCCGCTGTTCGTAGGAAGACAGGCCTTTGGTCGGGCGAAAAGCCTTCTTTGGTGCATGCCATTGTTTTCCTTGTAGACCCAAAAATGTTAGCAAAGAGCCATCGTTGATGATGAAGCGCAGGGCTGCACAGCGCATACCGTTTTTGCGCATGCCAAGCGGCTTTGTTGACTTTTCAGCCACCTTGTCGGTTGATCCCTCCATTGTGGACATCTTGTCTTGCCTGGATCCCTGGTGAACTGGAGATCAAGTGACGTTTGAGATTGTCGCTTCTCGCGCTGGTTCGTGAAGCTTTTCTTTTTTTTTCGTCTACTTTTTTTTTTGGCGCAGACACTTGCAGATGCGGGGCCAAGGCGGTGAGCACTGATGGCGCTTCTGTATTCTCCACCCCAGGGTCCTGGATCTTGATTAGGTACTCCGGAGCATATATGTTGCGTGGATTATCCTAACTGTGCTTATATTAGCTAGCTTCTTATAATTCGGTATGCTCTAAGTCTACTTAACTATAGTCTTTAAGTAGTTAGTATACTATATAAATGCAGGGAGCGCTGTCGAGACCACCAAATCCGGCGGAAACTGCTACAATTTTAGTGGGCTCTAGCATAGAGGGGAACCAAGCAACAGAGGTCGCGGGGCAGGTATTATATATACTAGTAGTACTTCTCTGCCCAGCTCCTGCACGCGTTCTGTGGTGGGACAAAGCGCACATGGGCCCATTTTTCCAGGGACCAGTTCTTGTCCCCTCCATCCGAGCCCCCAGCTCTGACATCGTTCGTCTTCCATCTTCCTGCTTCGCGCTTCCTGTTATCCACAATGTGCTCATCCAGCGTCCAGAAGTGGCCGTCGGGGGTTAGAATGGTCGGAATGGCCTCCCCGATTAAAGGGCTGCGAGGCCCTCTGCGCCTTGCGCTCGCTCACTTCTCTTCCTCGTCCTCTATCGGTTCATCCTCACACACTCATTTCTGTCAGAATAATCGCACGTTTCCACCATCGCAGGTTGTGAGCGTCTCCCGACGGCAAATGCTTAGGGTTACGTCAGAACGGCAATGCGCCCGTAGGCAAAGAAGGTGTCATAGGAAGTCTGTACTACAGTCATCGATTCGGGGAAGAATCGTAGATACTTAGGGACCGTTTCGTACCTAGTCCTTAGACAAGGAGGTCAAGCTTTAGTCTTGACCTGAATTCAGAGGCACCTTTCTTGTTGACTAGCTGTCCGTGTCACTGTTCCTGTTACAGAGCCAGCATATTGATTGGGCTAGCACATGGGATGGGCTGGTACATTGAATGGGCTAGCACGCGGAATGAACCCTAATCCCCTCCCTCTCATCTTTATCTTTGTATTTGCTCGTGAGGGTCTTGTTTTTCTTTTTCTTTTTCTCCTCTCCCTCTCCCTCTCCCTCTCCCTTACTCCAGTCCTCCTATCCTTTCTCGAGCATTGTGATTAACAAAGAGAAATGACCTTGCCACTGTCTTCGAGGTCCCTTGAGCGACCTGTGATTCTCGCAGTTACCTTGGGTAGCCGCCTGTCTGCTGGTAGTTGCTACGGCTGAGTCGCATCAAGAAAGCTTGATTTATGACTCCATACTCACTGCGATTGTCTACGCTCGATTCCACAATACAAAAGTTTCAGGATGTGACGATGGCAACCGCCGGACCCGAAACCGGCCTTCCCCATGGGTAGTAAGGGCGCAATGTATTCAACGAAAGAGTGATCGCTCTTATCATGATATCAAAAAAGCTGTGTGATAGCCCAAATTTGAGGCGGTGGGCACCCGATAGGAGATCCGATGTCGGGTGCTTCAGCTACCATTTAGCGTGCATTGGGTGCACTTGACCACCCACCACCCCTCATTGAGCTACCTGTACCTACTTAGTAGGTACGTAGGTACTAAGGTGGGGTAGGGGAATTGAGTCACTCTATTGGCAAGAAAAGCAAGAAAATTTGAAGCTTTTATAATTCCCCCTTCAACTCTTCCTACTGCCACATTCTCCTGCTGCCATTGTCTCTCTACGCTTCTAATCAACGCCGTACAAGATGTCTGACGACAAACGAGTCTGCCTGTAAGAGATACAATGTTTGATTTGGTGGTGCAACTTGAGCTGAGCTGACCTGTTCCAGTGCCTACTCTGGAGGTGCGTGCTACCCTCGCTGACCTCCGCCCACCACACTCTCCGACCTCTTCTCTCCGACCTCGAATCTTTTGACGAATTCTAATACAGCACAGGCCTAGACACATCCGTTATACTCCGGTATCTTATTAATGAGGTCGGTTTGTTTCGAGGCTTGGTTAACTTGACGAAAGCCTCACTTTTTGTCTTCTTCAACTCTGCTTCATATGGCTATTTTTTCCTCTCTCCTTTATCACCCTATACTGCATCATTCTTCCCATCATTATACTGCTTTTTACAAGTGTTTTTGGTTGCGAAGCATAGCAACGCTCTTGTCGGCTGTTTTTTCTCTCTGTTTCATCACCCTGTACTGCACCATTCTTTCCGTTATCACAACTCGACCAGAGCGATGGTGCCAGACGAATGATACAGGAAAACTCTGGAAATCATGTTGCTAATGTATTCTGTTTATAGGGCTACACCGTGGTTGCTTATCTCGGCAACGTCGGCCAGGACGAGGACTGGGCCGCCGTCGAGAAGAAGGCTCTGGCTCTCGGTGCCGAGCGCATGGTGATCGATGACCTTCAGCAGGAGTTCCTTGAGGAACTTGTTTTCCGTGGCATCCAATGCAATGCCATTTACGAGGACCGATATCTTCTCGGAACCAGTCTTGCTCGGCCAGTATTGGCACGCGCCCTCGTCCGCACCGCCCAAAAGTACAACTGCAAGATTCTCAGCCACGGATGCACTGGCAAGGGGGTGAGTCGAATCTACCTCCCAAATCTTTATTGGATCTCTACTAACTGCGAGTAGAATGAGTATGTTCTTGCAAAAACCATGGCCCTAGGTAGATGGCCACCCCATTTATATATTTGGTCCCCTTGATGGTATGGCTATACTAGGCCAGGAGCAGAGCTGCTGGCCGGGAGCAGTACTGGCAAAGACCAGGCTGCCGGTGAAGGTCATCACAGCTGCGAGGACCGCAGTCACAAAGGTCAGAGCTGCTGGTTAAGGTCATCATAGCTAGCTGTGAAGACCAGGACCGTAGCTGGCAAAGGTCAGCCTGACCTCTGCCAGCAGCCTTGGCAACCTTTCATCGGCAGCTGCGATCCTGACCTTCGCAGCGAACAATGATGACCTTCCGGGATCGGCTTTCACTCCCGTCTCTGAAGGCTCCCGGGACCCACACGGCGCCCGGAAGTTTCTCAACACCATCAAGTGGTCAAAATACATATATTGGATGACCATTTACTCGGGGTCAAACATCACAATTGTTACGGATGCTAACATTCATCAAGCCAGGTTAGGTTTGAATTAGCTTGGCGAGCACTCGATCCTACTGTGTCTATCATCGCCCCGTGGCGCATGCCGAAGTTCTTCAACCGCTTCCAGGGCCGACAAGACCTCCTGAAGTTTGCCGCCGAGAACAACATCCCAGTTTCGTCCTCTCCCAAGTCTCCCTGGAGTCTCGATGCCAACCTGGCGTAAGTAGTCTTTCAAACTAGAAAGGGACTTCTGGAGGCTTGTCAACTTAACGATGGCCTCCCTTTTTGTCTTCCTCAACTATACTGCTTTTTACAGCTATTTCTTCTCTCCTTCACCACCCTCTACTTCACCTTTCTTCCCATTACCATGAGGGAGTTCAAGTAAAACTAACAAGTATACAAGACATACCTCAGCCGAATCGGGCATCCTCGAAAAGCCCGAGATGGTTGCGCCCAAGGATGTCTGGACCAAATCTGTTGGTATGTAATATACTACACTGGCTCCGGTTCACCGCGGTAGACTCCCGAGCTAATTCTTGCGCTACCCAGACCCGCTCGATGCGCCCGATGTTCCGACCAAGTTCTCTGTCACCTTCAAGGCCGGCATCCCCGTCAAGCTTGATGTGGAAGGCGGTGAAACCTACACCAACTCAGTCGAGCTCTTCAAGAAGCTCAATGAGATTGCAGGCGCCAACGGCGTCGGTCGAGTTGATATCGTCGAATCTCGGTATTTTACTATCCCTGCCGCCATTATCAGCACCCCCCTCCCCCCAAGACTCGATCTTGTACTGACAAAATCACAAGCTTTATCGGATTGAAGAGCCGAGGCTGCTACGATGCCCCAGCCCATACGGTGCTGCGTCTAGGTAAGTGAGAATTCTACCCCTCAATCGATGAAGCTAACAACCCAAAGCCCACGTTGATCTCGAAGGCATGACCGTGGACTCCAAGGTTCGCGCAATTATGTCCTGGATCGGAAACGAGTGGTCCCAGTGCCTCTACAATGGTATATCTTCTTTGGATAATCTTGACGGTCCTGTCTAACAAATGTCTTAGGCATGTACTTCTCCCCCGAGCGTGAGCTCCTCGAAAACTCCATCATCTACAGCCAGAAGCATGTGAATGGCACAGTCAACATGATGGTATACAAGGGAGCAGCTCATGTCCTTTCCCGCTCTGCGCCGGACAGCAACCTGTACAGTGAGGAACAGGCAAGTATGGATACTCTCGAGGGATTTAGCCCAGAGGATACCAGTGGCTTCATTGCCATCCAGGCGATTCGCCTGGAGAAGTATGGCGCGGCCAAGATCCAACATGGCGAACCCCTGGTTTAGGGCGCATAGAGGAGCCGCTGCCTTGGCCTCTCTCTACTTTGATGAACGGGGAGGAGGTTTATAGAGGTGCAATAAAAGAGTGCTATGACTTGGGTGCAATTATCCTAACTCAGGGATAAAAGATGCAGTCAGAAATTATATAGCGGGAACTCCAAATTGGTCTATGAAGTCATGAATTACTGAATACATGCACGCACGCACTCGCTACATCGTAGTCGGGGGATCATATACTACATGTGTAGGTAAGGATCCATCCATCTATGTTGCCGACAATCTGTGTTGATGGCTCGGAGAAGACCTCTCGGAAGGATGGGCCTGTCTCCGGAGCCGCTGTCGCCGGTTTGGGCAGGCTGCTGCTCAGGGGATTGGACTCAGTGACGGTCCCCTTAGCGTCTTTGTTACTTGTGAGCTTTGCCATGCCGTTGCAGGAGCAAGTGGCAATTTATGACCCTACTAGGTAGTTAGAATATAAACTCCCCGGGAGCTATTCTGAGGAGAAGGTTGAACGTGAATGATGGTGACGCAAGCCTCGTAAGAACCTTCGAGTGGCGATAGCTTCAACTACACTTATTTCTATTTTTCACAAGGGAAAAGATTGACTCTACAGGGAGACCGCCACAAACGAACCCCCACTCCGCACAATTGCTTCCTAGCAGAAAATTAACCCAACCCACCAAGCTCTTCCTCATAAAATCAACTGAACAAGGAAACGAGAAACCGACCGTGAATGGTCCTATGCTGCCTGGTGCCTTTGCAAGTGGTGTATACCTGTGACCTAGTCCTCAGCATCATCCTTCGCCTCCACCAACCTGCTCCGCGCAGCACAGATTGACCAGTCAGATCGACCATCTCCAAACTCCCGTCTAAAATGGGTTATGATTTTGGCTTGCCGCATGTTGTTATGCATACATTCCTGCACAAAACTGGTTTCTTTCGGAGTTCATCAGCTGTTTGATACTCGCAATGAGGGGTCTGCTTCCTTTTTTTTTCTTCATCCTTGCTGCAAGTCTTCTTTTAAGCGAAACTGCAGTTATCGCCAAACCTTTCCCAGAACCTTTCATACATCTCATTCCCTTTGAAACCGGACTCTGCCAGTTCATCGGCTTTATTAAAATTTTTTTTTCTTAAAAGAATTCCTAAGAATATTATAAATTAATTATTATAAAATATACTTATAGTAAAAGTAAAATAAAAAAAAATATGAATTATTTATTTATTTATTTAACTATCTTTTACTTTTTTAAGGAAATTCCTTATAAAGATATTCTTAGTAAGTTTTTAAAATATTTCTTAATATTTTTAAGGAATATTCCCTATAAAATTCTAAAGGGAATACTATAGCTTCCTACTAGTCTTTATATATTAAGAGGACACCAGTACTGGCAGTACGCTGAGCTAACAAGGGCGCCCGCCACGCGATGCGGTACGGTACCTACAGGCAGGTTCCGCTATAATTCTGCAGTCGCGGCGGGCAATGCTTCTGGAACTGGTGCTATGGGCTGCTTACCCCGTATTGTGCCAATGAAACAGGTTGCAGTCAGTTCACCACCGATGGTTACACAGCAGCAAATGACATGCGCCTGGTTGTTGGATACATAAGACTCTAGTACCTATTCTAGTTGTGCCGGTATCAGTACATACGGTTGCTTAGGATTGTCGTCGTTCGTCTGACGACCGGCGGACCGAGCCTCTACGCCGCAGACGGATACAACTTTCACAGCTGAAGGCCGCGGTCCACCCTTCCAAGGCGTCGCCGGCCACTCACGCTTTGACAACGCAGACATTGACAGGACGAGGCCCCGTGTTGCGCTGCAGATTGGTGGTATCCGGCAGACGCAGGGGCATCCGTAGCGTCCCGATGGATACGAAGACGAAAGCGGCCGTCTCCCTCATCAGGTTCAAGGCTCCTCCGAATAAGCTGATATCGCGTGTCTTTACAAGGTGAAGGAGGGAGTTGCTCTACGAATCACTACTAGTCTACATTGGTGAACGGAGTTTTCTAGACGTGACATGCGCTGCACATGAGTTTGCCTACGCAAGCAGCATTGGTTGATCATTGCTTAAAAAGTCTCGATTTGCGGTAAAATGATTTCATAATGGAATACGGAACACGCGTGTTCAACGTTGCTCTCGTTTGGCCTCAAGACTAATAAGCGCATTGGCTATTGTTCATCTATCCCGTACAGCAATAATGCTGAGCATACACAGGGGGCTATCTCAACGTTTGAACAAAGCTTCGCTGGTTGAAGACGTGTAAATAACGTCCTGAACACGTCTATTTTTAATTTTGCTTGTTTCAGGCTCCAGATTAATCTTCATACATTTGCTGGGCGATCGGTGGATTCCCTCGCATTTCCCAACACGCGCGAGAAAAAGGGTTTATGCCACGTACTCCCTTGTCGTCCACGATATTAAGCGAGGCTGAGGCCGATTTTAATTGCGATCATACATGGGGGGACGTCCATCAATGCAGGTACTGCCACCAAAGGATGGAGTTTTTTTTTCGGTAACCTGCTCCGCTCCGTATTCCTTAGTCTGCGCAGAATAGATCAAAGCAGTAGTGCTCGTCGCGTCGATTACATACGATGGGGTACACTGACAAGCCATATCGTGAACCGCTTATAGCGCCGGCTGAAGTACTGTTGCCATGGAGTAATGAACCAATGTCATCAAATCCATCTGTCAACGGCATGGGCGGGCTTACGGGGCGCATAGTTTCCCTTCAGAATCCATGTCTGGCGGACGGCACAGATGCATCTGTCACGGGAAAAATTACAGGCCCGCCCTTGCGATTTTAACAGAGATGCTGGGACTCGTACTGGGAGACATCCAAGTTGAAGTTCGGATGACGATACGGACGGTCCCTGCATGAGGTGGAGACTCTAGCGGGCAGCATGGCCCCTTGGGAGCTAGACAAACGGCCTCCCACTGGAAAAAGGGCAGTGTTTCTGGGCCATTTACGGGCAAATTGCCAGAGCAGCAAGTGTCTTATGCGGCGTTCAGCTGAGCACCAGCAGGGCTAAAATGTCCGTCGGCCTGCATATCCTGCGTCAAACAGGAAAAGTCCCGTGGCTTTCTGTTTTGAACAAACAGGAAAAAAGGAAGGATCTTGCACATGTTTATTGACCTAGGAGTACGGGGTACGTGTGCTTGCGCTCAATGGAGCAGCACTGGCAAGTTCCTGGTACTAGTCTAATACGGGTCCGATGAGGCGTGGTCCAGCAGCAAGGCCATGAAACACGAAAGGGCCGGCGGGCCGTCGCCAGGCTGTTGTTGCCGGTACCAAAAGGCAGAGAGAAAGCTGAAGAAGAAAGAAAAAGAAGCAATTAGTGCGAGAGAACATGGCCGGACCGCTTCTCTGGGCTTGCCCGATGCAAGCTGAAGAGCGAGGGTCAAGATTATCCGAATACCAAGCAGGTGTCAATTGCGGCCTCGGATAGGTGCAGGCCAAAACCCTTTTTATTATCGACTGCAGCTTGCACCCAGCCGCGGCCAGAGCTTGCGTTTCTGGTTGGGCCGGGGTAATTTGTTGTGCATGCAGACCTCTTTGGCGCCTGTATGCCCCTGTCGGTGGAGCCTGTGTGAGTGTGTGTGCTGCATCAATCTAGGTACACGCAGTTGTCTATGCCGCACCGTACCTGTACTCGTCCCTGGCCGGATAGGGCAGAGGCTGAGGTACCTTCACGAGACGGCTTCTCTCCTTCTGTCTTGCATCCAAATGTCGATTGCCGATGGGGCGGGTGGCTGAGAATAGGCAATCGTCGTGTGAGGGCCGGCGATTGCCCTGCTCAGCTGATGGGTCTCAAGCAAGGGAGATGGAAGAAAAGGAAAGCCTGTGCATCTTAGTTGAGAGACAGGATGGTCTGTGAACGCGGCCGGGCACTGGGCAGGTACATGTACATGCGCTCAATTGCAATCTCTATGCCTCCTTCTGGCAAGCTGGATGGTCACGAGGAGACAATAAGGAGGGCGTCGTGGGCAAACACATCGTCAGCTCGGATGGGAACCAACGCAGCAATACCTACTTAAGTACAATTAGTATCACCGCGCCAGGAAGCCCAAGCCGTGCTAGGCGATGCCCGTTTACCCATGGATCAATAGCGTGCTCGTAAACGCCTGCGAGGGTCTACCACATATGCAAGCCGGCAGCAATAGGAAGGCGATTTGCGGTTGGACTCGCTTGTAACTCTGGTTGCCACGTCGAATCGGTGCAATTGCTGCCTTGTGATCTCGATACGCAAGGGGTCTCGCCAGGACGGCCGACACTGTGTTGTCAGAAATCCCACAGTACTACCTCGAGTGAGCCAGACCAAGGCCAGACGGGGTCCGTGAAGCTGCCTCCACTCAACCAGCAGCAGCGCTTTGTAGTGATATCTGATCTCGGCGTCGTTGCCCTGGCGTCCAGATTGCGAGATCAGAGCGATGTGCCAGATGCTTGTCCAGATTGACAGGCACTCCCGCAGCCTAGGTAGCACGCCGAGAGGCTTGTTGTTTCGGGCACTGGAGGAAAGACTGGGAACAACTTGGTATAGTCTTACAAAAAGGCCGCCACGCCATGCATGCATCTCGCATGCAAGTTTGTTTTTGGCTATGCCCGCTTGGGTGGTTGTGTCTAAAGAGGAGAGCAGGCCTGAGTCTAGTTGAGTCCCGTGAGTGTAAAACCACATCAGCAAAAGGCGGCCGCCTTTGACTTTCGGGTGGCCTGGCTAGGGCCAAAAGCAGCAAACGTGTACGAGTCTTGGCAGTGCCAAGGACATTGAACAGAGAGGTGCCCAGGTACTTCTTACAGGTACCTGCGAGCCGACCGCCGGCCAAGCACGGGGACAGGTACCAACGCAAAGGGCTGACAGGGACATTGCGAGATTCAGGCTCCCCATCCGCCAATGGCAGCGGCAGAAGGGCGGCTGGGGATGGCCAGATGGATGCATGCCTAGAATAGATCAGCCTGGGGCTCAGGGCACTTATTCTGACTTGTACAGTGTAATCGTGCTAATGTACGCGTGCTTAGTGCCGTGCCGTGCTAGGCGCTGGCCCGCACCGTCGCCAGCCTGGAGGCACTGTGTGGGTGTGCTGAGCATCGGGTGCCATCTAGTGAGCGTTCGTTCGGCCGGAGGAGGCATTTAATGGGGTGGCAAACGCGCCGCAGTTGATCTGTGCGATACTTTCTGCCAGTGAATGAGCACTAACAGCGCCGTGTGTGGGCGAGTACTGCTGCCGTCGGTACTGGTACGGACGCCGCGCCGCGCATGTACCTGCCCTCGTGCCTGTACAAGCGGTACATGAACACTTTGCAAGGGGCTGCTGAGATGTCTGGGGGATGGCGGCCGGAGTCCAAGAGACAATAATCCGCACTTGGCAGTGGAGACCGCGAGCCCTTTAGCGCTCATACCCCGTGCCTGCAGCGCTCAGGTACTTCGCGCCTGTATGGCTACCGGCAGGTACCTTGCGCAAGACAGGCACCGCGGCAGGGATCTGCTGGCAGGCTCGTACTTGTACTTCCCTGTTCCGTAGCGCCCAGTTTTTGGCTCGCCCCCCCATATTCTCCCAAATCTTCCTCTTCTTCTTCCGCTCCAGATTTCCTTTCCTTCTAATTCTCTATCCGCGCCATCGAAAACTTTAACCACCATTGGTGCAATTCCAGCGACGCTCTTTGACTCGAGTTGTTGCTTGGTTTTGGCCGTCCACTCATTTGCCCCGATTTTTGAACTTGATCTTCTTCAGCATTGCGTTTTTTCTTCGATTCTCTTCACATCTTTTATTCCGCGACACATCTCTCATCTTTGCCGCCATCATTCGAGCCGCCGTTGATACGCTGGTACGCATCGCCGACTTCTGGACGCAGCCTCCGCCTCCGCCTGTGAAATGAACTGGCTGCTCATTTCTCTATAGACTCAAAACATTTAATCCAAATCTTATTTCGCTTCGGCCTGTTTTATATCACCATTGTACTTTTCAGACGGATCAGAGGAAGTTAGGAAAGAAAGAAGACGACAAATACAGGATAAAACCATCAAAAGACCGGAAAAAAAGATACACCAGTCGCCAGAGCACAATCACGCCCTCCCTATGGTCCAGCCTGCCTGCAATCTAATCGTTCGTCGATGCTAATGCCAATTTACCGCCGGAAGCAATGATGGCAACCGCACTCTACACCCCCGAGCGAGCAGCCGTTGCTTCGTCAGTCCACCACATTGATGGGCCTGTCGACTATCTTGCTTCCTTGGACGACACGACCGCGTCTCACCATGGCACACTTCCTCCGCCCAATCCTCATTTCGCGTTTCCCGCGGCGTCGCCTTCGTCCACCCTCCATGATCCGACAACGAAGCGGAGACGGCCTCTGTCTGCGGTGGAGATGCACACGAGATCCCTTAGCATAGCCGTAGATGGCTCTGACCCTCGACACGCCGCGCTGCCAGCTTTCAGCTTCAACCCCGGTGCCTCTCTTCCCCCGAAACCACACAGCTTTCTCAGCCCTCCGCATTCTCCAAGCTCTGCTCAGCCCCCTGCTCAGCCCGCTGCTGCATCTGCTAACCGGCCAATGGGTCATGGACATCGAAGAGGTGGCAGCGAATTTGTCGGCGGTCGTCTTCGTGAGGGAAGCACCATTGCTGTCATGAGCACCAGCCCGCCAAAGAACGAGTTTGACATGAAGGTGCCCACTCTCCAGCCACCACCGCGCAGGGGACACCGCCGAGGCATGTCTGCTACTATCCCAGCAACTGATCTCCCCATCCTTTTCGCGCCACCAGCCATTGGCTCCTTTTCTCAGGGAAACAGCGCCCCCAACAGCCCCACGATGTTTAGCCGGAAAGACGATTTACCCAACATTGGCTCAGACTTCCCCTTGCCAGAGCCCGTGCGATTGGGCCAAGATGATGGAAACACAGACAGCCCTAGAGCATCCAAAGCCACCCCTGGAGAACGCTTGAAGATGGCTAAGCCTAACATGCGTGCAAGAGTTGGATTTTCAGACACCTTGGAATTCATTCCACGACCGCTCTCACTTGTCTCGAATGAAACATCCAGCACTGTGACAGCACGACCAGGCCATTCAGGATCCGGCAGCGTCTCTTCAATTATCTCGATTTCATCGCTCAGTGGACGCGACGGCCCCAACTCCTTACTGCGGACTCCGACTGGCGAACCCTATGAGTCTAGGCCAAGCACAGCAGGCGCTATCTTAGAGCGTACAGCAGAGCTCCAGATGCCAGATGAACCACCAACATCTCCCCGCCGCCGAAACTCGATTCCCGCCCTTGTCAACATTGTCGATGCTGATGGTGTAGAGTCGAATGTGTCTACTCCGACCAAACCTGCCAAACGTTGGTCTTTCTTTGGCTTGGATGCATTTGCTTCCGGCTCCCCCATGAAGAGGCGACCCAGCACTTCCAGCTCTTCAAGTTCCACCCCTCGACCCATTGATGGCATTTCATGCTCTGACCGCGGATCGGCATCATCACTAGATACGACAGAAGCCCTCCCTGCAAAGTCTAAGAAGGGAGGCAAAAAGAGTGATAAGAAGAGGAAGAAGAGGGAGAAGAAGGAAAAGAAAAAGGACAAGGAAGAGGAGAAAGAAAAAGAAAAGGAAGGGGAAAAGAAAGAAGAGAAGGAGAAGAAAGCCAAGGGCTGGGCTGGCTCGATTCTGCCGTTGAAGAGCCACAAGAAGCGTGGTAAATCACACGTTGTCCGCCCACCAACTCCGCCCGCCTCCGTGTCCCACTTGGACGACGAGGAAGAGGATGAGCTCGAAAGTGACATTCGCCAGCCTCCTCTCGAGCCGCCTACCATAAGCATCACCGAATCTCCATCCCTACCTGAGCAGCCAGAGCCACCGAAGAGATCTTCAGATGACATGTCTTATCCCATGATTGACCTGGATGCTGCACTTGGTCCTTTCAACACCCCTCTGTCTTACAATGCTGAGTGGGAGGCTGCTCAGCGCGCTGCAGGTACTCCGGGCAGCAGAAGGCGCCTCCACAGTGCTCAAGGGTTGAAGGGTTTCAGTGGTCCTGGCATGCATTACCACCGACGTGCCGAATCGGCTCCTGATCTCCCGCCTTTTGATTTCCGCTCCACTATTCATCGATTCGGCAGCAGCTCAACCATGGCTGATGTGTTTGAAGAGGATGAAGAGGACGAAGATGGAAAGGGTAACACCAAATCAAAGCTGGAAACCAGCGAAGAAGTCAGCGAAGAATCCGACGGCGAAGCCACGCCCCCTGCCATCACGCCTGTCCTGCAAGAGCCCTTCCTCGGGCCCAGTGACAAGGTGCTGGGAAAAATGCGACGCGGAAGCGCTGGGCTAGTTGAGGGAGAGTCTTCAAGCCTCTATGCAGTACGGGCTGAGGCCTCTCTAGCCTCACTTCATGATGAAACCATCACAGAGGAGGACTTTACGTTTTTCCGCGCCCCAGTGTTCCAAGGCCGCAGAGATTCTGTCGACTCGGGAGCACCCTCAGCTCCGTCCCCAAGGCAGGTCCCTGTCACCGCTGACCTGCCGATTGATGATCCTCTCGTTCTTCCCAGCGCAAGCGGCACACCGCTCAGCCCTTACTCGGCTAGCTATATCTCTTCCTCTCACCCTTCTCCTCGATCGCCAATGTCGGTTGATGCGCAGCGCATTTCCACCGCACCCTCATCCATCACTGACGACAGCTTCCACTCTCTGCTTATGGGAGAGCCGGGACCAGAAGTCAGGATCTCAATGGACTACGACGCCCCATCACTTGCGTCAAGCCACTCAGCCATGACCCGTGACAGCACCTTCATTCCTGTACCGCGGCCTCGCCAACTTGGACCTTCCCGTGATCAGCGTCCAGTGTCAATGTCAGCTCCATTTGGACGCAGACGCTCGAGCTTGGCGAGCCTCAGCCGACTCATTAGCAGCTCTCATGGTGAGAGAAGCAAGCTCTCCATGGAAGTGACCTTGGATAATGAGCCGGAATCGAGAAAGTCGAAGCACAGCAAGACCAAACGGCTGGGACGGATGATGCAGTTCTGGAAGCCAAGCAAAGAAGACAAAGTCAAAGAGGAGAAAGCCAAAGAAGATCAAGCTGCTTGAGTTTTCCAATACAGAGGGAGGCGGCGACAGGGGACGAAGAAATACAAAGCAGCGTCTAACCATTATTAAGATGCTGCTTTGACGAACTTATATGTATTCTATGTAGCGCATGCTTTCACAAAAAAAATTCTTTTTTTCCGGTTATGCCTCATGGATGCTGGACCTACTGAAACTTTTCGAGGTCGTGTGCTTGCAGTTTTGTTCATGGAACACAGTTGAAAACATTTTGAAGCCAGCTGATGATAATTGAGAGTTAATTTTTCCTTGAAAGCAATCTTATGAGGATTATGATACTGCTATTTCTTCACATTGAGCTACAAGAGAGCTGTCAGTTTTATACAGCCGGTACAACCAGGAATTGAGCGTTTGATGATAAGCATGAACCTTGCTTTTGCGTGACGAGCACATTTGGACTTGTCATTTTTTTTTATACTTTACTTTTGGACGGACGCCTGGCGGATTGGGAACGGGGAAATTTCCTCGACGCTGTGTATGTCGGATCTTGTTTTTTTTTTCTTTGTTGTTTTTCTTTTGTGATTCGTTCTCTGGATCCAAGGGGGAAAAATTTCTCAGTCAGTCGAGAGAAGTACAACTGGATGGATATATAAAGCCATATTTTTTTTTTTTTAAAGGGAACGGGGCCTTACAACTTTTGATACGAAAACAAAAGGGGTTTCTCGATTTTTGGCCGCGGATAAGGGTTGCTTTTTTTTCACAGAGTATGTATTATTTTTTTCTTTTTTTGACAGAAGAAAAGAATAATTCACTGCAGGGTTTTTTTAATTTAGTTGAATTAAGAGGTGCTCGAAATGAGCGAAATAAAAAAAAAGATTTATATTTACTTTTGCTTTCTGATGGCCTTCTTTCTTATTTAATGATTTGGCATATACGATAAATGCTAGGTAATATGATTTGTAATTGCTAATAGGTACTAAGATATCTTAGTAGCTATCAACAGAATATGGATATAAATATTTCGGAAACATCATCTCGTCTTGTATAGTCATGTCGTACACACAAAAAAGAGTAGTCATAAAGCCGTAACACATCATAAAGAGAGAAAGTAGAATGGAAGAAAAGGGGAGTATCAGAAGAAAACCATCGTATCCAGTCATATGCGAAACAAACACAAAAAGCCTCAAGCCTTTTCCAACGCCGCACCGTCGTGAGCACATCGACGCATCATCAAAATCCAGTGCTTATGTGCGATATTCTCGCAGGGCTTGCAAGAAAGTTGTCTAATCATACGTTCTCATCTCATGAAAAGAACTTGGACACGCCATTGCGGATGCCATCTACTAAGCCGCCGCGACTTTCTCGCTCAATGTCATCGTAGTAGGCCTTGCGCTCCCATCGCATATCGCCGCTGCGACCACGCTCGACGCGACTTCCACGGACATAGGACTGAACGGCGTTGCTGCCGTTGCCGCCGTTGCCGTGGCCGTACTCGCCAGCCATGCGGACGGCGTCGTTGACGGCGGTAAAGGGATCGCCAGTAGCGGCGCGCTTGGCCACGCCCAGCATGCGCTCGATGGACGGCGGGATGCGGAGGCCGAAGCGCGCGAGCAGGGCCGTCAGGGCACCGCCGGTGACGAGAGGCACGATGACGAGGAAGAAGACCTTCCACGGGTGGCGCTTGGCGTAGTGCTGGAGATCGCGGAGGAGGCGCTTGAGCTGCTTGAGGCAGCGCTGCAGGAAGCCCTCGCGGGGAGAGCGTTTATAGTACGAAGGGCGGCCTGAAGGCGATTTCATTGTTAGCTAAGGTACTATATGATAGACATCATCAAAACAGGGCACACGTACGGTTTCCAAACAAGCTGGAGCGGCTGTTGTTGCCGCCCAGGCCGAAGAACGAGCCGCGCGAGCCATTGTTCTTGCGATAGCTGCTGCCCTCGCCGCCAAAGAAGCCCGAACCACGGCTCCGGGGAGATCTGGATCTGGATCTGGACCTGGATCTTGATCGGGAGCGCGGCGGCGGCGAGCGCGACTCGGAGCGAGAGCGACGCTTCTTGTGGCTGTGACGGCGGCTGGCTGTGTGGTGGCGAGACGAGCGGCCGCTTTGACTGAAGGCGTCGCCGAAGACGCTTGACGAACCCATGATGGTGATCAGGAGTGATTTTTTTTTGGTTGATATGAGACAGTAAATAAGAAAGGTCAAGAAGCAAAGCAAAGCAGGTAAAAATTAACGAAGATGACGCTGTTTCAGGAAGCGGGCGGCGCTCAGCTGAGGGATGAGCGCATTGAGCCTTGCTGCTGCTGCGCTACAGTATAACGAGGTCACTGACTGCTGAAGACTAAGACAAGAGAGATCGACAGTATCGTCTGTCTCTGCTCGAAGCGGGCGCTCGCTTGGGTGATTCAACGCGATTGAGAAGAGGTGGTTGTAACAAAACAAATCGCAAAGCAATACGCTGAAAGAAGTCCCGGCCTGTAGCAGAGCAAGGCAAGGGCTCAGCTTAGGTATGGCAACCAGCTTTACTGTAAACAGTAAGAGAATCAAAGCAGGGCCCCCAACCAATCTAATCAATCCCTGCGTGTATGCAAAGGCACAGACGGTACCTTTTTCGCTTCCCTGGTTCTCTACCTTGTCTACGATCTGGCTCCTGTGTCACTCTCGCTATCTTGTTTTTCCCACTTTTGCCCACTTGGAGCTTCTCGTGCGGACATCCGTGCAGCAGGGCGGGATGCAGGATGCAGCGATGAGGTGCAGCTGAAGAGCTTCAAAGACGGCCGCAGAGTGGAGAAAAGATGAAAATCGCCCGTTGGAGACGCAAAAAGACAAGCGCCTTGACCGCCGGAAAATCGGGTGGCTGGAGGGTGGGAAGGGAACCGGTAATTTAGAAGTGACTTCTCCTGCTGTTTCCTCTCAGCGTCTTTTGTTCACAGTACAAGGGGCCAGTAACTCGCTGAGAAAAAGGCCTGAAACAGCCAAGTAGGGCGAGAAAAGAAGGTGGCGCAGCAATCCATGGGAATAAGTACTGTAGACCAAGTTCAATTAAATGTAATACGAGGACAGTCAGCGGGAAGATGCAAGGAGTGGGAATATTACTAGTGGAAGCGAGGGAATCAAGTTGCAGATCTCAATACGCGTTACTGCAGATAATGTCCAAGTAGTAGCTGTACTTTACCTTTTGATACATTTGAAAAAGAGAAAAGCATCCGGCATCTCAGCTGTATTCAACAAGGCAGCTAGTCTCTATTAAACAATCAAATCCATTAATACATGTACTTTATGATTTAATTGTCAATTATACAAGGGAGTAACAGCAGTAACAGCAGTAGTATATACTAATGGTACTTAATTAAAACCTATTCCTTTTGCTTCTTTTGAGAAAGGCTAGCAGAAAGCCAAATTGGTGAAAAACAGCATTTGTTTCGCTACTTGTATGCCTGTGAGCACAAGCTTGCCTCTGTTATCCTGCGCCACAGGCTACGCCACACCTCAGATTTCAACCTCCGTAGTGCTTTCTTGTATGCCATGTCTGCTTGGTCCGCGTAAGAAGAGCGCGTTCAAAAGCTCAATATCAAATCCCTTACTTTATAAATTGCTTCCTCAATTGCTCTCTAAACTTTTTAAATACTCGATTTCTAGGCAGTAATTCGACCAAGGGAACGAACTCTGTGCCATAAAGTCCAAATTCAGAGCATATAGCCAAAATGTCTGGTGAAGACGATGAAGACGATTACATGAACATGACGTTCGACGATCCCGCTCCCACTACAGAGTCTTCAGTTCAGCGTGCTGAGCGTCTCAAGAAAGAATCCCGCGCTCGCGGCGTCATAAAGTCCAAGGCAGAGCTCGCTCAAGAAGAAGCTGCTGCGAGAGAAAAGGCTCTCTCAACCTCTTTGCTGGATGACCCACGCTCAAAGAAGAGTAAAGGTCTTGCCATGATGGCGAAAATGGGTTTCAAGGGCGGCAGTCTGGGGAAAAAGACTGAAGACGGCGAAAATTCCAGCAAATCAGAGCCTATCCAAATCAGCATGAAAGAAGACCGTGGCGGCATTGGCTTGGACAACGAGAAGAAGAGAAAACTCCGGGAAGCTTTTGAAGAAAGGGACGCCAAATCTGTCAAAGTCGACCCCAATGAGTATCGTGAGAGGATGAGAGCGGAGAGAGAGGACGCTAGACTAGAAGTGCAACTCCATGCTGCCCAACGCACGGCGGAGCGACTGGACGATGAAAAGGCTGGAAAAGACACAGCCGATGCCACTTCGTCTTCCGAAGAAGCAGAAGCAGAAGTAGAAGCGTCTGACTCAAAACCGCGTCCGATTTCATCTCGCCCGCTCAAGTCTTTTCCTGTTGTTTATCGCGGCTTGATTCGGCACCGTGAAGAGAAAGAGCGCGATCGACGGATGAGACATGACTTGGAGCAGTCTCTCTCACGACTGCCGACATACGAGAGCGGCGATGAGGACGACGATGACAAAAAGGCCCTGGGAAAGAAGCAAACGGTATACGAGACTGCGGATGACCTGGACGAGGTGGATGAAGAATTGGACGAATTCAATGCTCTCGACCCTGGCACCAGGCTGAGCCGTCTGGTTATGTATTTGCGAGAGACACATTGGTATTGCTTTTGGTGTAAAATGGCGTATCCGGATGCTGAGTTGGACGGGTGCCCGGGGTTAACGGAGGAAGATCACGATTAAAAGAGCAGTCTGTCAAACACGTAGCATCTTGGTTTAGCCTCTCTTCTCAATTCATACCCATAGAGATGGATCTGTATGTTAAAATCTGTCTGTCTTCTGCGGCCTTTTGCTCTCAAGCCATAGCTAAGCTACTTCGTAGTATAGTTTCCCCAAATGGTCTTTGTCCAGTTTTATCCTAGCCTCAGATTATCCAGCCCGGCACGCCGTTTCTGCGGTATCGTCATTCTAAGACTACTGTTGTTTTCTGTTCTTTGACGACCACCACGGACTTGCATAGAACCATGACAGAATCGAAGTTCTCTCCGTCTGCATTTCCAATCTTCCAGACGCCCGGAGACTCATTTATATCAACGGCGTGGCTTGATGAAGTAGCATTGACCTCATCTTGCAAAGGTATCATCGTCTCCGGATCGTATCTGCAATCGTCTTCTCCACTATCGTTTCCGGCCCACTGCACGACGAAGATAGCCTTTGACCTCATCATGGCGAGATGAAGATTTGCTGCTTGCTTAATAATCTCCCCAAAATCTCTCTCAAATACCTCTTTCTGTTCATGGGGTATGACATCCTTAAAACAAATCATTGCATCTGTTATAGCCTGATTTTGCTCAAAATCTTCATTTAATCTTTCGTCTTCTTTCATGTTCGGGTCAAAGGCTGACTTCGTGTTACTGATCATTTTCAGGTATTGGGAGCTCGGAGGAGCGCAAGGATCTGATTGGCAAATGGGAATGGTTAGTGATTCGCCATCATGAGAAAGACATCAAGAGGCTGGTTACCTATCTGGTCGATGCTACGTGCCAACGATTGGCCAATCCCTCCATACCAGTGCTCCATACGGCCCGAAAAACAATGATAGCATATTATCACCCATAGCTGGCGCCGAAAAAGGATGGGCCGCATAGGAAACATGCAATCAGTTGATGTTGCAAGGGGCGAGGTATCCGTAAGATAACCGCAAACAAGATTTTGGACTTTATAACAGAGTTGTTTCCACTCTCCAACAATGGTGTCATCTGATATCTTGGGACCGAAAGCCTCAACATTGGCTGTAAGAATAGAAGCCATTTTGTTCTTGTGGGCCCTGAAGTCTTTTTCAAGTGCTGCATATCTTTCTTTCTGATTTTCCTCAAACCCTTGATGAACATCTCGCTCCTGTTGAATTAGCGCCCTCAACTGGGCAATTCTGCTGCGCTGCCGTTTGATCTGAGATTTACTATCATCGAGTAAGGTACGTACGGCCTCAGGGTCCAGACGAGATGCTATCCCTATGAAGACAGTTTCCCAGTTCTCCACCTCGGTAGCAGAGTACGTTCGTGTCCTGGGATGTTTCGCAGGCCCTGTTAGCTCGTCTTCGCTTTCGAAACGATTTCGCTTCCTGCTTCCTGCAGTCTCATGCTGGCGGACTGGCACTTGCTCTGAGACGGCTGATCCTTGGCCATGAACAGATGCATGCGAGCTTCTAAGCGAACGCGTGCTTCTAGTCATTGCTCGTGAGTTGTTCGCCAAAGTATTGTCGTCATCGCCGCCTTCTGCTTCTGCATGATGCATTTGTTAGCTTGCTATTGACTGTATCGAGAGAGTCAAGATAGAAGTGCATCGAACAGATGCCCCGGGATATGTTCTCACCATCTTTCAGAAAAATCGTAGCACTATCTCCTGGCATTATTCCTGAATGCACTTCAGCAGTTCTGAAAGCTGGTGGAGCTACTTCAAGGCAGCGGGATCAATAGGGAGAGTGAGGTCAAAAGCAAGTGCTGTGCGGACTAAATGAAGATTGATAGGGCGAGTTGAATGGCTTCTGGGTTGAATCAAAAGATTCAAGAAAATTGGTGAATGCGTGTTATCAGGTGCCTGCGGGTGGATGCATAAAACTCGAGTGCTATGAAGAAGTTACGGCTGGCAAAGCTACTAGGTACATGTAGGTAGTAATTTATCTCTTGGACTGAAAGAAGAGTGAATCCGCGCTGCCAGGTGCCTGCGGCTGAGCGCATGCGGTCAAGTGACTGAGAGCCACCGCCCTATTTTCTATTTGAAGAACTGATGGTAGAAGGTGATTCAACTCTCCTCTTTCTTCTATCCACTTTTCGCACACTCTTCATCTCCTACAGGAAGCACATTTGCCTCACTTCAACTCAGCATATGACCAGCAGCTATGGCTTCATCCACCCATGATGAGGCAAACACCAACGGAGATTCTTCGCAATCAAAGGACGAGGATCCCTTCATTGCTTTTGGAATCGATTTTGGCACAACGTAAGTCCACCCTCCTCTATTACTTGATCACAAGTACCGACTTTAGTAGCTATTCAGGTATCGCATGGGCCATCTCAACTCGACCAGCCAATGTCAGCATGATAACTAGCTGGGATTCAGCCAAGTACCATTGTTCCGATAAAGAGAAAACCCCAAGCATCATCTCATACGAAGAGAACGGCAAAATGCTCTGGGGCTACTCTGTTTCTGACAAAAAATCTTCGATCGAGTGGTCCAAACTCTGCCTCTTGGAAGAAGATGACATTCCCAACGATGTCAGTCACTCAACACAGCTTCAAGCTGCTCAAGCTGCTTTAAAACAGCAGAAAAAGAGCGTCGTAGATGTCATCAGCGACTACCTGCGACAGCTGTGGAAACACAGCATCATCAACATTAGGCGAGCTATAGGTGGACAGTTGGTAGACCTCTGCAGATTTAAGGTCGTTGCTACAATTCCTGCAATATGGCCCATATATGCTCAGATACGCATGCATGAAGCCATAGAAAAAGCTGGGATTCTGAGCACTCGAAACGCGGGTCAAACAATCTTGGAATTTCTTCCAGAGCCTGAAGCTGCGGCATTGGCTACTCTGAGAGGTATTTCCACGTACAATCAGGCAAATATGGAGGTAAAAGCATTTTATATCCTAGTTGTAATTTATCAGCTAACGTATGGGCCTAGATTGGCGACCATTTTGTTGTTTGCGACGCTGGTGGAGGCACTGTAGTAAGTCCTTGGAATCATGTCTTGAATTTTGACGCATCTCACACAGCTAGGACATCATCACCTACACTGTTGTCGAGCTGAGCCCGATGAAAGTCAAGGAAAGCGTTAAGGGAGACGGTATAGTGTCGCGTTCTTGATATTACTTTGATTAGCAACTAATGTGATGTATAGGAAAACTTTGCGGAGCCACCTTTCTGGACGAACGTTTTCTAGAAATTCTTCGAGAGAAGCTTGATCAGATATCTCCTGATACCTGGAAAAGCCTTGAAGAGACTGGAGCACTGGGACGAATTATGAACAACGATTGGGAGAACGGAATCAAGCCTCAATTTCGTAACACTGACCAACACTGGATGATTCAGATCCCGGTAAAGGGACCTAAGCGAACTCATGATGAATTTCGTTTTTCAGACATCAAGTTTGACGTGTGAGTATTCTCAAGCTGGTATTCTTATACCAAGCGCTTTTAATCTGCTGGATCATTTTAACCCGCTTAAACAAATAGCAAAGATGTGCAAAAGATATTCAAGCCAATAGTGGCTGAAATCAAGCATCTTGTGGATAACCAAGTGAAGGCCATCAAAGACAAGTACAATAAAGAACCAAAGGTACGGTTTTGCTATTATCTGGTAATACTACCAAAGTACTCATATATATCTTTTCTAGTTTGTCGTACTTGTTGGTGGGTTTGGTCGGCAACCTTTCCTTTTCACGGAAATGCAGGACGCTTTGAACCGCAGGAACGGGCCTGTGGGGAAAATTGAGGTTCTACAGAGCCAGGGCGCAGAACCGTAAGTGGCTATTGACGTATTGGTAATAATAAGAAGCTGACATTTAGTTTCCTTTTCACGATGAAGCTGGACAGCTGTCTGCCGAGGAGCAGTAATACGAGGGCTTGAGCTGTCCGATCGTACAAGGGACTCTACGGTCATGTCAAGGATTAGCAGGATGAGCTACGGTGTGAAATGCGATCGTGTGCCATGGAACGCGAAGGACCACGATATAAGAGATAAAGAGTGGTCTGATATAGATCAGGCATATAAGGCTGTAAACCAGACTTCTTGGTTTGTGCGCATCGTGAGTTACAGCCCTCAAGCGAGTCGTTAAAACTTGAAATATACTAACAATTATCAAGGGGGAAACCATTCCAGTGGGCGATTTCATTTCCAAAGGATTTTATACAGACCTTACACATTCAATCTCGTCGCAGTCCACAGAACTCATCTACTCGACCTCTGCCACTCCACCGAAGAGATGCGATGAGACAGTCAAGAAGCTTTATAACCTCCATTGGTCGACTGTGCCTAAGTTCAGCAAACTGACTACTTGGGTCAATTCTAAAGGTCGAACTATTCGACGATTCTGTTTTGACACTAAGATGACATCAAATGGCGTAACTTTAGACTTTGAGATTGTCTACAAAGGACAAGTCGTGGCGTCGAAGAATATCGGCATTGATTATGGCCACTGCGGTGCTCTCGCTAGTAACTGCAACTGAGAAGCGCGATATGGAATGAGATTAGATGAGATTTTTCGGTGTGAAGGCCGAATGATTCAACCAGCACTCGGATTTAGCATACGCGGACTGATTTGGCTTGGGTGTTTACGATTACGCAGACTGCGAAAAGGAGACTACTGGGCTTTGGTAGGAAGACAAATCAGGATTATTTGATAGTTTGATACACGAACAATTGATGATGGTTGCATTTACCTAAGAGATAAGCGCGGCTTATCGCAAGCCGCGCACGGAGTTACATCACCGGTGCATAATCAACAATTACCCGTAAGATGCTGCTTAGATTCAAAAAGAGCAAGCAAACTATATAATAGATTCCATCGTCTAGAATCGCAACTCGACAGACTTGTAGAAGAGATACCGCTGACAAGAAGAAGAAGAGGAATACCCAAGTTTTAGCAACTCAGTTTTATCATACTGAAACCTAGCCACGGCGCGACGAAGTAATTCGTCTATATAAGATATAATACGTCAATACATATATAGCTAGAGGTAGTAGAGGTAGTAGAGGTAGTAGAGGTAGTAGTAAATAGCTTTAATTTACGATACGAGTTACAGCTGGGATCTGAATCATGAAATTGAGGCGCTGAATATCAATCTTTATGAGAACTACGCAAAGTTTGCTAGCTACAGTATGCTGTTATCCTACATATCATGGTTCAGCCTCCCACGATCTCTTGCATAAGCCATGGCCAAATCAATCCAAGATCTGCTAGCTTTAGCAACAGTTACTCACGCGAGTGTTTACGAACGCAAGTAGAATAGCGCATGTCTTTGCTCTCCAAGATAAAATGATATTTATCCGAGTCTACGCTGGTTATGTCTGCAATGCTTAGGACGACAAATCCCATAATCAGATTTATAATTGTCCAAGCAATCACAAGCAAGATCCCAATAAGCTAAAGCAAATAAACAGATGATACTGCAATACTAAGCGATAATGTTGGGTTCCGAATGGCTGGCTCGCATTTAAGGCATCAGACGACCAGAGACACAAGACAATTGGTAGGTAAATGTATAGCCGGAGTATATACATATAATCACCAGACAACATGCAGTAACGCCCCGTCAATGGAGTCGAGGCTTACGATTTGATGATTAGTTTATTTTTTCTTTCTTTTTCTTTTTCTTCTTCTAAAATAAGGCTTTTGCAATCATTCTCTATTTAGTTCCCAGGATCTACTCAGCGAAGAAATGAAAGCTACAGCTACAGCGACGTCGTATAGACTCCCTAGAACGGCTGCTGCTGCGTATACACCGCTTTGCAGGAAATGATCTTGCAGGATAATAAATTTATTATAATGGCGAGGCTAGGGCCCATCATGGTTATGTGACACCGCTATTTGTTGTCTCTTGTTTGACAATTTCTTGAACTTCAAATCACGCTCTTCTCGATGATATATATCACGTATGTTCTTTATTCTTATGCGTTTCAGTAATCACTTCTCCTTGTTTGGCTCCACGCCCAAGTACTGTCAATCTGTTATATAGCGAGCCGTTTTCCAGATCAAATATCATGTCACAGATACATATGAACCCCATTTGTTCTCTATCCAGTTGCAGCATTCGCCAACAGCCCTCATCAGGTTATACCGCCATATGCATAGACCCATCGTCCGAATTAGGTATGACCTCCAGTTCTCTAAGTATGACCGAAGACTTCCAAAGGATCATATGAAACTCAAAATCCTCGCCATCTGCATTGCCATATTTTATCAAGGCCGGCGCTTCGACAAACTCCACAAAATATCGAGATGTGTAGGTGTCCACATCGCTTTGCATGGATTCCATCATTTCTCGGTTATAAGGGGTGAATTGCGCGCCATCATCATCTCCAAGCCACCGCAGGAAGTAAATGGCTTTTGAACTCATCATCATGGTTTGAAGATCAACTGCGTCCATAATCAACTTGTTCATCTTGGCTTCAAATTGATCCATCATCGAATCTTGGATGAATGGGGAAAGCATGATCTTGGCAGCTTCAACCAGTATAAGCGTGGCTCCTTTGGCTCTTTCATAGAGCTGAGGGCCATCATTGAGACCAGCAATCGCTCTAAATTTCATCTGGCTGAGCATTTTGAGGCAGTGAGGTTTATTGAAACATCTTTGGCCTATGGGAGGAGACGTGTTAGCTGGTCGCGTCAATTTGTGTAAGATGGGAAGGGAAGGAATAATTACCCTCTATAAGCAAGATTTGTGTCAACGTCTGGCCAGCTTCTCCGTACCAGATAGGCCGCATCCCCGAAAATACAGCGGATTTGATTGTATACCATATCGATCGTCGAAGTACAGCAACTCGTAGACTGGCAACATTGCACCGGGACAGAGGCAGGAACTTTTTCATTCGTTTCATCAAAGTCTCAATCTCGTCACACTCATTGGCGGGACGGTTGGTTAAGCACTGAGAGACTATGTCGCGAATGTTGAAGCATAATCTCCCCCATCCCGCAGCAATATCAGAGTCCGACACTTTGGTATATTTGCCAGAGTCCTGTTTAGCAGCATCGATAGCAGCCTCTAGCTTTCTTCTCAGCTTACTGCACTCGCTTTGTAACTGGGCGATATGTGATTGCTGCGACACTTCTTTTCGTTTCTGATCTTGGTGTAATTGCTTGAGATCTTTCTTCAGAGAATCATTTTCACGGTGCAGTTCTTGGTTCTTGGTTTTGAGAGTTTCAAGACTCTGAGTTTTCGACTTGTAGTCATCCAGCCATTCATCAAAAGCCTTCTCATACTTTTTAATTTTAGGATCGACCGCAGGTTTCTTGCCGCGCTTTTCAGGCCGTGCGGTTGCATCATCGTGTTTCTCACCACTTCTTTTCCTCGAATTTGGGGTCTCAATCTGACTCGGTGTCGGCAGTCCTTGTTGCGTTGGCGCTTGTTTGGCCGCCTTTGATCTCAAGCATCGAGAAGGTTGAAGTATAATACGTGGCTTGTTGGAAGTGATGCTTTCTTGATAAGTTCCATCCGCTCCGTCAGTAACAGATTGATCTTCACCGTCACTATCTTGGTACTCTTCTTGATCTTGAGCTCGTGGCAGAGATGGCGCGGTTGGCGTCTCAGTAGCTAGATTCTCGACATCGACTTGCGAGGATTCGGAAAATCCTGCTCGAAGGTTAGCCTCTATTTATTTGGACTGATACGACTAGATGAATGAAAACGAGTTGTCAAACAGGTGTTCATTACCGCGTCCTTTGCCAGGAGTGTCGATACCTCGTGGCGGCATTGTATCGTAATATCTCGGATGAGAGAAGAGCTGGCCTCAGCGTGTCTGGATGTCGATGCTCTATCACGCTCCAGAAAAAAATTCCATGGGCAAAATTAAAAAGTGAGAAGAAAGAGAGAGAAGAGGCAGAAACGCAAAGAGGGTAATTCACAGTGGGGGTTGTAACGTGCAGAGCTTTCTGCCAGATGGCTGCCAACTGACAAGGCAGTGAAACACGCGTTCGAATTTATGTGACTTTTGCTTTACCAATGCTTCTATTTTTCTTCTTCTTTCAACTCAACACACCTTCTTTTGCCCTGCCGGCTATTACCTTGACATCACTTAATACTTGTTCGCAACAACGCAAATTGAGAAGCCCCCATCATGGCTAGAACTAATCGGAAACAAAGAGGTGCTAACAGAGGGACACAGAATGCCTCTGGAGGAGACCCTACAATTGTCATTGGCATAGATTTTGGAACCACGTGCGTCTGTTCCATCGCGATGAGGCGGTTTCTGATACTGATGCTGTATCACATGTAGCTTCTCCGGTGTCGCTTGGGCTCGATCCAGTCGGCCAGATCAAATCAATATAATCACGAGCTGGAAGTCTCGCTTCAACTTCAACAGCGACAAGGAAAAAGTGCCAACCATCATCTCGCGCGAAGAGAAAGATGGTGCTCCTCTTTGGGGCTACGTCGCTCCATTGGGATCAGCTTCCATCCAATGGTTCAAGCTCTGCCTCCTCGATAGGGATGACATTCCGCAGTATCAAAGAAGTTCAGAACATCTCAAAGCTGCAATGACTTCGCTGGAAAAATCCGACACACATGTTGTGGATGTTATCAGCAACTACCTTCGAGAGTTATGGCAGTACACCATTAGTTGCATTGAGCGAGCTGAGGGAGCATCCATCGTCGACGTCTCCGCGTTCAAAGTGGTTGTCACGCTGCCGGCAATCTGGCCTGCATATGCCCAATTCCGCATGAAAGAGGCCATTGAAAGAGCAGGAATTTTGAACCTTCGTGGCGTCTTCGATACTGCGCTGGAGTTTATCTCAGAGCCTGAAGCGGCGGCCCTGGCAGCTTTGCAAGATCTGTCTGATAGGGCAGATATGGTGGTAAGGCATATTCTCACTGCTACTGAGACTACCATTACCGCACTAACTAGATGGTCTCATAGCCTGGTGATCATTTTGTCGTCTGTGACGCTGGTGGAGGTACTGTAGTAAGTAATTCAGTCCAATTGAACGTTAACACAGCTCATTTGCTTCACAGGATGTGATTACCTATACTATCATTAGCAAAACTCCAATGAGAGTCAAAGAAAGCGTTAGAGGAGATGGTAAGCATTACATCTTCTTTTCTTGTTCAGGCTCATGCAGCTCATGCAATTTTATAGGAAAGCTCTGTGGCGCTACGTTTGTGGACGAACGTTTCCGAGATCTCCTTAGACAAAAGATTCCCCCAACTACTTGGGACAAACTTGGAGAAGACGGAATAGCTCGTCTTATGAACAATGAATGGGAGAATGGCATAAAACCACAATTTAGCAACGATGGCCGCATGTGGTCTATACAAGCCCCCATCAGTTCACGGAAGAGAGACCACGAACAATACGTTTCTTCAGATATCAACATACACAAGTAAGCCCCTTTACAAAGACCGATAGATACCTCCTATACCTCCTATAGTGGCCATTTACTAATACATCTAATAGTTATGAAATTGTCAACGTCTTTCAACCGATAACCAGCCAAGTTGTGGAGCTTGTAGCAGCTCAAGTCAGCGAAGTCAAGAGGCGGTACAAGAAGCAACCCAAGGTATGGAAATGGATTTGAGCTGTTTGATGAAATAAAATACTGACATGGATTACTAGTTTGTAATCTTGGTTGGTGGTTTTGGACGATGCCATTATCTATATAACTGCTTGGCCGAAGGCCTCAGAGGCAAAGTAGAGATTTTACAGAGCTCTGGAGCACGACCGTGAGTACAGATTGACACTGTAAATTCTAGATGAGGCTGACTTTTATTCTATTCCAATGATATAGCTGGACAGCAGTTTGTCGCGGTGCGGCCATCAGAGGACTCGAACAATCTGCTGGTGCTACAGAATCTGCGATTTGTTCAAGAATCGCAAGAGCCAGCTACGGTACCATGTGCAACGTCGTCCCATGGAATGAAAAGGAACACAGCATTCAGGATCGAGAATGGTGTCCGGTTGCGCGAGTGTACATGGCCGCCGACCAAGCCTCCTGGTTTCTGCGTATTGTAAGTGATTAGCATCATATGTAGCTGAAATGAAGGGACACTACTAACGGCCATCCAGGGCGAGACTATAACCGTGGGTAAAGCCATCGAACTAGAGTTCCACCAGGACTTTGAATCACCGGCCAGCGAAATCGTTACAAATCTCATTTACTCCAACAGCTTGCAACCATCAGGACGATGCGACGAGACAGTCAAAGAGCTCTGCCAGTTGCGCTGGTCGAGGATCCCCAAATTCGACGATCTGCCTACATGGACAAATAACAAGGGCCGCGTTATCAGGCGACTCGCTTATGTGATCAAGATGACTTCCAACGGCGTCTCTTTGGACTTTGAGATTTCACACGACGACAAGATTGTCGCCTCCAAGAATGTCGCGGCTGATTATAGCGAAAGTGGTACTGCAGCGCATCGGCATGCTGCCCAGCTTGGTGATGATAATAGTGGCACCTATGTGCCTTCTGTAAAGGGACCGGGAGGCTGGGACGACGAATTCAGTGATGATTAGTTTCTGCGAATGAGATTTTGTTTATGATGGCATTGGGAACCGAATTATATTTGCTGCGAAGTATAGCGGAATGGAAGCGTATTCCCGAATAGTTATTGCTCTCTACAAACAAGCTATAATCCTAGAGAGAAGTATGAAGGATACCACTATCTCAAATGATGAGGCTTATTTCAGTATCTAAGTATTCCTGTCATGACTAATGGCACGAAGTGACAACCATCTCAATCTTCTCCTGCTGCCCCTACCTTTAAGTGTTATATGGTAATGAACATTTTATGCGAGGACTGGCTGCCTTGTCAGCATAAAGCAGTAGTTGCCTTCAACATGTAGGCTATTTGCAACTAGAGTGCTGAGTGATAGAATTGGTGATAGAATTGGGTTGCGGAATGCCCGATCTTTCCTCATACAAATGGCTTTTACCTACCTGTCAAGGTACTAGGGGAATCTCTATTGCCGCTCACCTTTACTTGTCCTGTATGACACCATTGAAGACAACCAACGGCCCTGCCTGCCTGAAGGAAAATACAAGGGATATAGTGTGCGAGGCTATAAATTAAGTACTAGGCTGTAATTACTATCTTCTATATACTACCTGTACCTACCAAGTCTAGAAGAAACAAGCATCCTAACCACAAGCTTCGCAGGCAGGAGTGACAACGATTCCTCACGTGCCCTGCTTACTTACAGCACGCCTCCTATCCTCCTTGCCTCTTTCCCCCCCCTCTTTTCACAAACTCAATACTTCTGAGACCGTGAGCATTTTACAACTATTTATTTCTCACAGTGTTGGTGCAGAACACTCGCAAATTCATTCATCAGAGCTCGAATTACCAGATTATCACCGATAAGTTTCTAGAATTCCTGTCAAGAACCATTGAATCGTTTCCAAAAATCCATCACATCTCCGCCGATTCTTTTAGAGATCGCCAAATCTTCACCGAAAAGTTTGCCGGTAGCAAGGACCACCGAATCCGCGTCACTTCTCCGCTGGAATTCACCAAAACAGTGCCGGTTAACAATGGCTCCGAATATTCGACGACGCATGACCAGCTCTAAGACCTTCCCAATTTCGCCCAAGTTGACGGACGGAAACTCTGAAAGCATGAACCTTTTCTCGCTTTTGGGCGTCGTTGACGAAGATTGGGATATAGCTCAACCATAAATTGTGCATAATCCTGCTTGTAGTAGCAGAGATAGCAGAAGTAGCAGAAGTAGCAGAAGTAGCAGAAGTAGCAGAAGTAGCAGAAGTAGCAGAAGTAGCAGAAGTAGCAGAAGTAGCAGAAGTAGCAGAAGTAGCAGAAGTAGCAGAAGTAGCAGAAGT